GTTCAGATGATATACTGTTCGGTGCAGAGGTCATTATGTTCAATAGTGAACACAAACTGTGGTGTGATACCACAATTATGTTGGGTTCATTCGGATATTTTCGGGCAACAAGATGGGAGCGACTAATTTCCATAGGTCACGTCGAGGCTTATGACCACTAAATTGCCAAAACAATTTTCTTCCCTGTAAATATCATCGGGGGCTTAAAAACGTTATTTTCATAAATTTGACTTTTAAATACCCAATGGGTATTTTATTTAGTTAATTCATGACTATACTATACTGTTACAGTCATAATGGGTACAGTATATAAAACTTAAAATATGGGTAAGGGTAGCCTGTTAAAGTCACACATGACCACCGTAAATAAAACTTAAAATTTATCTGTTTGGTAACCTATAAGAGTCACAAATGGACACAGCAAACGAAATTTAAAATATAAAACATCATATACAAGTAAGGGAACCCTATTTGAGTCACACATGGCCACAGTATATGGAGCATATAAGTAAGGGTAGCCTATTAAAGTCACATATGGCCACAGCATATGCAACTTAAAATATATGTGTTGGTAACCCATTTGAGTCACACATAACCACAATAAATGGAACATAATATTTAAGTAAGGGAAACCTATTTGAGTCACACATGGCCACAGTATATGGAACATTAAATATAAGTAAGGATAGCGCAATAAAGTCACACATACCCATATTATGAAGAACATTCTATATAAGTAAGGGAAACCTAATTGAGTCACACTAGGCCAAAATATATGGAACATTATGTTTAAGTAAGGGAAATCTATTTGAGTCACACATGACCACAGTATATGGAACATTATATATAAGTAAGGGTAGCCTAATAAAATTAGACTCAAAGACATTTCCCTGACTTAAACATTATGTCTAATATATTGTGGCCATGTGTGACTCAATTAGGTTTCACTTACTTATATAGAATTTTCTTTATACTTTGGCCATGTTTGACTTTATTAGGCTACCCTTACTTATATATAATGTTCCATTTACTGTGGTCATGTGTGTCTCAAATGGGGTTTCCATACTTATATTTAACGTTCCATATACTGTGGCCATGTGTGACTCAAATAGGTTTGCCTTACTTGTATATTATGTTTCATATTTTAAATTTCGTTTGATGTGTCCACTTGTGAGTCTAAAAAGTTACCAACACATATATTTTAAGTTTTATTTACGGTGGTCATGTGTGACTTGAACAGGCTACCCTTACCCATATTTTAAAATTTATATACTGTGCTCATTATGACTGTAACAGTATAGTATAGTCATAAATTAACTTGATAAAATACCCATTGGGTATTAAATATGCCATACGATCGGTCCAATTTATGGAAATAACGTTTTTAAGCTCCCGATGGTATTTTCGGGGAAGAAAATTGTTTTGGCAATTTAGTGGTCATTAGCCTCGACGTGACCTATGGAAATTAGTTGCTTTGTTTGACGCGAAGATATCCGAATGAACCCAACATAATTGTACGACCACTCAGCGCATTGTCAAATGACTTGTGCACCGAACAGTATATCATCTGAACTGAACATAATGACTGTATCACACAACAGTTTGTGTTCACTACTGAACATAATGACCTCTGCACCGAACAGTACATCATCTGAACTGAACATAATGACTTCTACACCGAACAGTACATCATCTGAACTGAACATAATGACCTCTGCACCAAACAGGATATCATCTGAACTGAACATAATGACGGTATCACACAACAGTTTGTGTTCACTACTGAACATAATGACCTCTGCACCGAACAGTACATCATCTGAACTGAACATAATGACTTCTACACCGAACAGTACATCATCTGAACTGAACATAATGACATCTGCACCAAACAAGATATCATCTGAACTGAACATAATGACGGTATCACACAACAGTTTGTGTTCACTACTGAACATAATGACTTCTGCACCGAACAGTATATCATCTGAACTGAACATAATGACGGTATCACACAACAGTTTGTGTTCACTACTGAACATAATGACCTCTGCACCGAACAGTATATCATCTGAACTGAACATAATGACTTCTACACCGAACAGTACATCATCTGAACTGAACATAATGACCTCTGCACCAAACAGGATATCATCTGAACTGAACATAATGACGGTATCACACAACAGTTTGTGTTCACTACTGAACATAATGACCTCTGCACCGAACAGTATATCATCTGAACTGAACATAATGATAGTACTATTCAACAGTTCTATTTCACGACTGAACAGTCTGAATAAAGCACCCAACAGCATGTCATTGCAACTGAAAATAATAAAAGTATCACCCAATAATACACTGCCTAAGCCAAACGAAATGATAGTACCACTCAACTGTTTATTTTCATGGTTGAACATGATGAGAAGAGCTATTTTAACCGAACATAACAACTGTCACACCCTACAACATATCTTTTTAACTCAACATAATTGTGTTACCACATGCCTGTTTGTTTTAAGAACTGAACAGAATGACTAATGCACCTGACAATACATTTACTTGACTGAATAAAATGTAATCAGCACACAACATTACACTTCAATAACTGAGTGCATTTGGATTTCCACCCAGTATATTGGGATTTTGACCCAGCATATTGTATCTCGGACTCAACAGAATGACATTTAACCATGTATATCAGTCATTCTACACATAAGACAGTCCAGGCGTTCCATATTAAATGCTCAGATATTTAAGTTCTGCTTAACAATACTTCTTGCATTCAGATCTCATTAAATGTTCTAGTAAACAGTTTATTTTACGCACGAACTTACTGAGTTCATTTACACAAGATGAGTTTTAAATTTTGTCAAAAATAACTTTAAATTTAGTCCAAAATAACGAGAATAATATCAGAACTTATCAGGTAATCTTAGTTAATGATGTTCAATAAGTGTCTAACATATTATACGATTATTGATGTGTTCAATTGATATAATGGTTATATTTTTATATATTTTTGCACATGAATCAAGTATTTATAAAAGTAATTGCCTTACCGATTGCGTACATGACTTGGTGTTAGAAACTGAGTTACCGAAACACGACAGGTTTGTTTAGAAACACATACATCTTAAAGTGTTCCAATTTTTCAAGATTAATAAGCCTACAAGAAATTATTTGTTATGCAAGCTATGCTAACATTTCTATATGAATTTTCATGGAAAACTAAGAACTAACATAAGCAAGTTAACTAGTTTTACTTCGGCCGATTATCTTTTTTTAAAGACAATTCTTGTTTATTGTTGAATAAAATGATTCGTCTTTATATGATAGTGTCCGCTTATTTTAGACAAAATCTTTAAATCCTTAAACTATGTATAGTGATCATTCTAACTTTCTGAATTAAGTGAGCAATATTAAATATTTCGTAGATAATCATTGACATTTCTCCATTACCTTTAGCTTATTTTAGGGATGGTACGTTCAGATAAGATTCCGAACAAATTTTGAGCATTTTGGGCGTTCCTTTAAATTCATAATTATAGTGTGAAAATTGTCGTTTCCATTTTAAAATTTATCTAAGATATATTTTCACCTCCAATAGATAGTCAAAGTTTCAGTCTACGGGTCCAATCTTTGAAAGCATTTAATAAACTATGAAAACAATAGAATAATGCAGAACCGAGATGTTTGCGCTGAACAAATCTTCGATCTGAAAGGCTTTTTTTAACTTTTGAAACAAAAAAAGAAGTCACAAGGGGCAAGGTCAGGTGAATACGGATGAAGGTGAAGCACGACTTTATTCTGCTTCAGAATGTCTTGCACTATAGACGTCTTGTCCGATGACGCGTCTGACATCGGCCAAACCTCTTGCTGTTCTTCGTTTTAGAAAGTATTTGTTACGTTTTCAAAGAAAATTTCACATTACAGTACCTTAATGGCGGGATCTCGAGTTCTACAAAAATGACATTATACATTACCTTCTTTATACTGATGAACCTTTTTTGCAATGCTTTGCGTTTTGCCAGACTTTGTAGCCCAAATCTTGTTTTTGGTGTTATCGTTTTGGCTCATAGAAACAAACCCCAGTGACCTTCTTCTACGCATTTGAACAATGTGAATATTTTTAATAGAGTCAGAGATTTATCTGTCATATAACGTAGAATTTTCGTAAAGTTCGTAAAGGACTAGGACTATGTCAAAATCTAAGCTTGAGTTAAAGATAGGTGCACAATTATGATCGTGACATGTGTTAAGTTCCAGGTGTATGCCTTGAGTAGTTGTAAAGATAAATTTTGCATGCAAAACTTTAACCTCGAATTTTCACAAGGACAAAAATTAATGCATAACATGGGCTTTGGTCTACGTTAACTTAACGTGTTCACATGATACTTCGTGTTCACATGATACTTCGCACGAATCACCAATATTGTAATTATGGTCACTATATCAAACTGAATTGTACTTTTTGTTAACTAAAAAAATTATAAATGTCATGGATTTCGAGGCGCGTTCATATATTAATACATATAGAACGTTATATTTAGGAAATATATATATATCAATTCTGAGTGCATTGTTGTTCAACTGCGTAGGAGGTCACTGGCGTTTGTTTCTATGAGCCAAACGATATCAGGGGTCACAAATACAAAAAACTTAAGCCAAAGTATTACGCCGAGCTATGTGGGATAGACCCACTTTTCTTTAAAAAATAAGTTTATTTAAAAACTGATTTATAGGGTCTTTTTTGTTACAATACAATTTACTTTTAATTATATATGAGCCAATTTTTTTTTCATAGCTTCAAAAGTCAAAAGAGGAAATATGCCGAAAAGGGCACAACTGAAATGTTCCATGGTTGTTATGAATGTTCCTAAAGAGCTCAAAACTTTAAACAATCATGCTAATCTCAATATGTGAGAAAATGATGAAAGCAGAATGTAATTTTGTCCCCTTTTCTAACATAAGATAAAGATAAAGACAAAACACATACAACAAATTATAATATTTATTTCGAAATTTTTAATATCCAAAAAATAGAATGGGTTTGCTGTATTGATAACAGAAATGAAAATGAAAGTGGAATAATCGTTTGCTCACCTAAATAAAAGAGAAGAAGATAATGGCTGAAGAACTGAAGTTAACATGTGAATGTGTGTCAAAGACTGATATAAATAACATGAAATTAAAGGCACAGAGTGAGTTCTGGACATGATGACAAGATATGTAATATAGGACGTATTTGTAAACTAATTTGTAAAGCAAGGACAGTAGAACCTAACAATATGAAAAAATCGGCTTAGTATTTTGGTGAGAAGTTTTAAAAACTCAATTTCAACAAAAAAGAATTGATTGCAGAAGTAGCTTTTATACACATTTATAGTTGTTTATGAGCAATATTTTGTTAGGACTGATTTTCATCTATATTTATTATAGCAGATAACTGTTCAATTAAATTCGAACATCTATGTTAGGTTATTCAATCACCACTTTGTAAAATGTAAAATATATATGTATATGTATACATGTGTATATGTTTACAACAAAAAAGTACAAAATATATTTCATATATGATTACACAAAATAGAACCTATAGTACATTTTAATCATGCAACTTTACAACAAACTGTCACCGCAATGAAAGACTATTGCGTCTACTTTCAATCATTTATCTAACCCTGGAGCGCTAGCATCATGACTTCACCACCAGTATACAGGTAAGCGAGCATGTATTACTGATTTACTGTATCACCTAACAAGGTGACTTCTACCCACTGAATTTCTGTATTGGATTTGTCCAGCTTTGAATTGAGCTACCAACAATATAGAGCCTGTTCAGAAATGCAAACTAGCCTACCTCAATTCTGGTGGCAAAGGCTTATGATATTCAGTTTCACCTGTTTTAGAGATTGGTATAGGGCAAGCCTGAGACATATGTCAGTATGACAAACTGACCACATGTTATATACTGGCTTCTTCATTTAAATATTTTGAAAGTGAAAAATCTAAAACTCGGAGTCAGTTACACAAATTCATCAGATAAAAGATTAAAATGCAAACAAAATAGTCTGTCACCATGGCAACTAAATTCAGACTAACTATTTTAACAGTGTCATGATTCGTTAACTAGTTTTTATCACAATTATTATTTTAATTCAATATAAAAAAAACTTTATAAATCAACATCATAATTACCATCTACACCTTCTATATGATTAAAACATAATAACAATATTTTCTATAAAAAGATATAAAAATGTTAACCACTGAAAAAACTCCTATGCACTTTCAGTATTCAAATGCATGCAACAATGAATATAAATTGCAAGGCTTGGCATTAACAAATATATTTGATCATATGCATATAAAGTTACATTCTTTACCTAAATAAGGACACTTTACCATTTACAAGTGACATATTTTTGGGATATTTAGCAATTACAGATGGCATATGCCAGAGATATTTTACCACTTTAGAGATGGCATATGCTTCAAATATATTCAACTTACTGGGGGTATATACCTGGGATATTTTCCAGTAACTTGTGGCATATACCTGAAATAATATCCACTTACAGGTGCATATGCCTGGGATATTGAACACTTTAACATGCATCTGAATAACATACCTTGATTATTTTTTCTTCTGACGTAATTACAATTTCCATTCTGCTAGAGTCATAAATACCTGAATATTTATCTTGTTATCCAAGTAATCACAAACATTTTTACAAAATAAAGGTAGGAAAATTTTACATGAAGGTCACAACAGAAATGTTTGTATGTTAAATGACAAAATGTTCTTGGGTCTATAAAAAACATAACAATATGAAGTTACAAATCTGCTGTGATAGCAGAGCTCCATACTGCACTAAAAACATCAAATTCTACATATCTTAAATATTTCCACAGCAATCATAAATTTTAGACTTAAAAAGTGTTTCAAAAATCTTAGTAATTTAACATAAAAATTACTACATAATCAGTGTAAATTAATGGAATATTTGATATTCATCTCAATTCATATATTTTCAGAGTTACAATATTCATAATAATCAGATACATGTAGGCCCAATTCGAGGCAAGATTTCCTGCCTCATTTACATCGAAATAGAAAAATATGAGGCACGGTATATCACCTTTCTTTATACAATAAATCTTCATGTAACATTAACAATCTAGGACGGATATAATTACCTCAATGTACATAACTAGATCAAACAATTGCAATTTTGTGTGTGCATGTGTTTCTTAAAAAGATAAGGGCCAATATATTTATACTAGCAAGAAAATACAATGTATTTTTTCCTTTCTTAATAAAATTACATTTTTTAAAAATTATGGCCCTTCTTCGTACTAGAAACAAAGTAGTGTCTAAATTTATGGCATTTTCAAAAATCATGATGAAAAATGGTTGGTTCAATTCTATGTCACATCTACATTAGAATTTAGCTTAGTAAGGAAAGAATATCTGAAGATACCCTTAAAAGCATCATAGTTCTTAGGTTAAGTTGGAAGAAAAACTAACTGTATGCATATCAGCATAAAAGCCTGTATTTTCCAACATAACAAAATTTCAATGTCTCCAGTAGGATTCAAACCCACACTGCTGAGGCACACAAGACTCTAAGTCTGTCACCTTTACCATTTCGGTCTTAGGGCACCCTTATTGCTAGAAAAGAAACAGGTTTTTTGAATTTAATAGTACATGAAAAGATTATGATTTAAAATATATTCTCACTAAGTAATGGTAAGATGATAAAATTTGGGAAAATATATTTAATAATGCACCAATGAGAAATATTTCATAAACTTAAACCACTGGAATGGGTAGAGTTTTCAGTTAACACTTTGATATAATTTATAATATGTCCATACAATGAAGTGATATACATAAAATTTGAACACAACATAAACATAATTTGGTTATGCATGAAATTATAAACAACAGATGAGCAAGGGTAAATGGTATGGCAAAAAAGCGTAAAAATTGCAGCTGAGAAAAACATGTTATTTTTTCAAGGAACATCACTTATCATATAAACTTTTGCTGTGTTCTAGTTATACAATTTAACAACAAATGTCTTGTCAAGTATTTTGTATCATACAACTTTGTTCGTTTCTTGTCTAATGTCACGAAATGAATTTATAATGCACATGAATATTAATATGTATTTGTCATAAGATTAATAAGATTTTAGTTATTTACATGAAAAAGAAGGGATTTCTCACCAAAGAGTTCAAATGTTTCACAGGTATATGACCTTGAGTCTTATGTCAAGGAAATCAACATCCCTTTTTTTTAAATTTCTTTATCTTAGATTCATGCTAGATTTTAAAGGAAGATCATGACTGTAAAAATAATCAAACAAAATACATGTAGTCAATCTTGAATTGCTGAGCAAATTGAAATATTTCCTAAAACCAAAAACTTGAAATTCTATAGTGACTAATAGGTACTAATGATAATTCCACAAGGCATACTCAAAGATACTGATTGCGAGGTCTACAAAAGTGTATAGTTTCTATCATTACCGAGCTTCAAATTAAATACATTTATAAACATTGACAGGAAAGTGATGTAACTTGAATAAAAAACAAAAGCTGTATGTAGGACAGCATGCTCGACTATTCGCACTGTTTGATATTAAAACAAGAGCCTGGATTATGTAGAAGTTTCAAGTTTAAAAATGGTCATTATTCTGTCAAAATCCATGCCATAGTAATGGGCCTTTGATAGTGATCTTCTATTATGCTCTTTAATAAATACTTGAAATTTAAACCAATTCCCTTCCGCAGTTTTGGAGATATCAACTTGCATGCAAAGTCTTAACCAGTGTGATAATAACTTCGATGCCAGGGTGAGTACAATAGTTCTCCCTACACTTTGAATAGTCGAGATAAGTTCTAAATTTCAATGATTTGTATGGTATATACAGTATGTTTGTAGGTAAATGACAATGGTATATCTAACATAATGTACACATATATAACAATCTTTACAACAAATTGCATAAATATGGAATGCTCTATTTAAAAGGCCTTTGGAAAACCTGCAAAGTCTGGAAGTACTAATCATCTGGTATATAAAATATATTAAGAGGAAAAAATGCCAAAAAAAACAAAAGGGATTTATAAAACACTTCATTCAAGGGGTGGTGGGGCATGGACAGTATCAAAAATGAACTTTGGTCAAATAATGGGGGAAAAAAAACTTTTTGTTTATTTTTCATTTTAAAAGATTTCATTATAGTTTGACAGTGAATTCCCTGGTTCCCAAATTTCTTACCACCTGTATTCCTTATAAAAACTCAAGTTTAGTTTTATTACATTATGACTACCAGACCATTCAGGTTGCCAGATTCAAAACCTTTGAATAAGGTACCTAAATTCACAGACTGGTTTACATATGCTAACAACCACGATATCATTTTGGTTCCCAGCTTTGCATTTCCCCTTTCATTACCATTTCAGTTTTTTGAGTGTTTAATTTGCTTTTTAGTAAACCCAGTTGACAGGTACCCACTGTGTGTCTGTACTTAAAGAATCAACAATCTGTCGAATTTCCCTGAAAGTTTCGTCAAAACTGTCATTCACTATTGTCATATCGAAACAACTCTTATACACTTTTTCAATTTGTGCCGACTCTTCAATAATCTTCAAGAAGTCTTCCTCCTGCATGAATAAATAAAATACAACATAAAAATAAGTCATTCAAGTCATAGACTGACAGAAACTAGAAATAAGTCCATAGGACACGGGTGCCCCCACACGACACTGTCCTGTCAATCTTATGACTCTAGGTCAAATATTTTTGGACTACATGTGCCACAAGTTGAAAGCTAAAACTCTTTTACTAAGTAAAGGGCAAGAACTTTACAAATACTGAATAAATCCACAAGCAAACCCCAAGGTGCATAAGTTCACATGCTGACCAACATTCTTGTAAACTTTCAGGCCTACAAGACAAATACTTTTTGAGCTATGCTTGAACAAGTTGAAAATTGCAAATTTTATACTATGTAAGTCAAGGGCAATACTCTAACAAAACTGAAAAAAATCCACATGCAAAGTCCCAGGTGCATAGCTTCACAGTGATGTTGATCATTATTCCTGTTAAAATGGTTGATTCTAACTCAAGCACTCAAGGAACAAATAACAACATAATGAAATGGTTTTTACTAAGTCAAGAGAAATAACTCTACAAATACTGGATAAATCTACAAGTGAAACACCAGGTGCACAACAAAATATGCTGAGCAACCTGCCGCTCTATGTCAAATCCTTTTTGAGTTACATGCTACAAAAGTTAAAAATTGCAAAAATTTTCTAAGTCAAGGGCAATAACTCTAAAAATACTGTATAGATCCACACAAAAATACCCAGGTGCACAACTATACATGCTGATCAACATTCCTGTAAAGTTTCATGACTCTAGGTCAAATCCTTTTTGAGTTACATGCGACACAAGTTGAAAATTGCAAATTTTTACCATGTCAAGGGCAATTACTCTAAAAATACTATACAATGTATAGATCCACACAAAAATACCCAGGTGCACAACTATACATGCTGATCAACATTCCTGTAAAGTTTCATGACTCTAGGTCAAATACTTTTTGAGTTATGTGCGACACAAAAGAGAACAGACGGACGTACGGACAAAAGGATGGACGGATGGACAAGGGTTAATCTAAATGCCAAATCATGACACTGCTAGAAATATAAAAAAAAAAAAAAAACACTACTCAAAATACAGTATATCTAGTTTACCATATAACAGTACCCCATTTTATGACAGGGCAAATTTTTTTTAATATTAATATTCATTTTAACAATATCTACATACTGGTTCAAGGGCAATAACTTTTTTGCTATTTCTAAATCAAACCATCTAAATAATGAAACAAAAAAATAAATGCCAATTAATACAATGGTTCTTTACATAATATCTTTCATACAGTTTTTGCTTGTCAGCAAATTATACAGACTATTACATCAGATAATATAGATATATGACTGAAATACATCTAGCACTTACAGTTTTAAAATCTATTGTTCCAGGTCCAGCAATCTGAAATACACAAAAAAAAACTTTATTACAGATTTACTTTGAAACTACTAAACTACTTTCAGGATCAGATTTATAAGTATTAAACAAGCTCCACTCAGGTTATGAAGTCAGATAATTATAAAATTAAATATATATTTGCATAGATCAATGCAAATATATTAGTTTGAATTTTTTGCATAGATAAATTGCTTGAAGCTGTATCCGCTGTTTATAATTAACAAAATTATTGTTTGAATTTGAAACAAGAACCTGCTTGATAATCACAAATGTCTCAAGCCCAGATTCTTATCAGTAACAAATTTTCAAAAAAACAAAAACAAAAAAAAAACAATTCACTCAGTAATGGACAGAAAAAGTGTTTTAAGAAAATTTTTAACACATTTATATAACCTGACAGAGTTATTCTGTACATTCAAATAGCCACACTCTTAGCTTTGGGCACCTCGAAATATACAATTCATTTTAAACTAAATATTTATGAATTTAATAACTTACACCACGTCCGACCCCTTTCCTTCGTCCGTCCTCGTACATTACCATCAATGCCTCTGCACTTGGTGCAGCTATGAAAATGATGTATGGCATGAACTCTGGATTCTTTAGCACTTTCAATGACTGCAAAATAATGAGATATGTTGAAAGTACACTAATCACAGAACTATATTTATTCTTGAAACAAAGGTCGAAAGAGACTGTTATAATAACTGATGAATTTTGTGCACCATATCCTCTCGAACAAAATAATATTCTAATTTACCATAATTATCTCAATGAGAAACTTTGACTTGTCTGAGCAAAAAAACTGAATAAACCAAAATACACATAAGTCATTCTACAGACTATTGTTTGAAGAATATTGTACTATGTTATGTTAAATGGGTTAGCCATTGAAGAATTAACAAATATCACATAATCGAATAAACTAATACACACACAAGTCAATAAGTCAATGTACTAACTATTTTTTGAAAATTTTTGCATAGTATTATGTCAAAATTAAAGATTATTGTATTATGTTATGTCAAATTTGAAGATTATTGTATTATGCTACGAGTTAACAAATTTCATATAATTGTACTGAAAGGCAATCATAAGGCTTCCATTATAAAGAAAACGTCATCAAAACAGGGATAAAGACTGATTTCACTCAAGTGAAATCAATCAAGTGAAATCAATAATTAAGTGATGTTATTCTCTGGTTTTATGCTGCTTTTTACGAAGTTTTTCAGCTGGTTAAGAGAGATATTTAGGGATTTTTCTATCAGTCTGTGGATGTGACAGAAACACAGCTGGAAACAAAATACTTCCCTCCTACATGTCACCATATATATAAGTCACAGATGAACAGGCAAAATATATCTTCAAATATTTTCAAAACTTACTGTGGGGTTAACGTCCAGAACACACATTTTTCCTGATCGTATTGTATCATGAATAGTTTCTAGTTTTGTGCCGTATAAATTGCCATTGAATACACCAAACTCCAAGTAAAGGTCATTTTGTATCTCCATATCCATCGTTTCACGATCGGTAAAGAAATATTTCTTTCCGTGGACTTCTCCCTCACGTGGTGGACGTGATGTGTCTAAAATAATTAACAATGATCATATTACAAAGAATTCAGTTTTTGAACAGTATGTATTCTCAAAAAAATGTACGCAATTTTGTTCTTTATGCGAAACATTTCAAAAATAAAAAGTAACAAGAGCTGTCAACAGGACACATTGCTGGACTTTTCTCAATGCTTGGTAGTTGAACAAGACCCTGGATAATGTAGAATTCATTAAGTTTAAAAAGGCAAAACGCCTTGGACAGATAAAAACACACAAGCAAAAACAAGAAAACCCTGGAGTGATTATATTTTGGCTATAAATGATTTATATACAATAACATCATAGTACCAATATTTCCAACCTTAACACTGTAGATAATTATTACATTCAAATAAATACACAAGGTTAAGTTGACTTAATGTTACATTACAAATATCCCTTACTCATACAAAAGCAAACAGCAATTAAAACATTATTCTTTGTACAAAATATTTAAAGACATTTTTACAAGAAGCCATAGTGAACAAATCAAGCAATCAAAGGATGAACAAATAAAACATTTCAAATTCAACTCACGCGGAAGGGCTGATGCAAATCTCCGTGGATCTGATTTTATTAGTCGCTCCTTTAAAGATCTACGTCCCACACCATTGGCCCCTACAAGAACAAGTGTCTTTCTCTGGAACGGAGGCATTCTCGTAACTTCCTCATACAGAACAAGATCAGCTGCATCATAGTCTGAAAACAAAACAAATGTATCTTAAATATCGCTAAATGCATCTAAAAAGAATGGTCAATGAACTTAATAAAGGGAAATAAGTCAGAGAAAATCACTACTAGAGTTATCAGTCTTGATTAGTGATCTTTTAAAAGTATTCAAATGGCTATGACGTTTCCCAAAGGTACAAAGAATGTTTAGACAGTGAATCACCAATACTGTCATATTAAAGAACAGTCTATTTAAAGTTTCAGGATCTTTTTGAGTAACAAAATACTGAATACAAGTAAATATCAAAAGACGATGCCTGTACATTCAAGTAAAAGGCCAGAAATATATATAAGGATGCTATTTAAGAACAAAATTATCAATACAATACCATTAAAGCTTAAAATTAAAAAAAAATAATATACCTTTGTTATTAGTAGTGCTATATTTGATCTTCTTTTTCTTTTTTCTTTTTAAACCACATACTGAAAAGAAAATTTTCAAAGACTAATCAATACACTTATCCCATGGTCATTGATCAGTCATACAAAATTTTGTGAACACATCTACAGCTGCAAAGAAAAACATGCCTGCAATATCTAATGAACAAAATGCATTAAATTCACCACTTGTCATTCTTATCAAGTTTAAATTAAAGTCATGTTAAATAAATGCCTCAATACAAACTGGTCAAACTTACATAAACTGCTTTTTGAGTAATCCATGTCTGATCTGACAAAGGCCTTTCTGTTCTCCTCAAGGTTCTTGGATGGAATAAGACCTACACGGTTTGTTTCATCACCCACAATCTGTGCCTATAATATACACAACAATATTTAATAATAGTGAACATTATATATCAATTAGAAGTAGAAAACGTTAGTATTAAAGCAAGTTTGCAGTTTCTATATATGCCTTCATATAATTCAAAATTGTTTGCAGTGAACTTTCATATAGCAAAAGTCAAAAAAAATTTTTTGCTCACTGGTTTTTATGTTTTTACAATAAAATGACTAACCCTTCATAAAACAAGAGCTGTAAGTAGCACAGCCTGCTGCTTGATAGTAAAGAGTTTCTAGATTTTTTAAGTGCAAAAAGGGCACCAATTTTGTCAAATCCACATTCAGTGTTATGGGTCTTGGATAATGAATCCTAATATGCTCTCAAATAAGTGTGTGAAGTTTCAACCCATTCTGCTCAACAGTTTTAAAGATATCAACTTGCACGAAAATAGTGAATACATGGTTGATGTCGGGATGGAGAAGGTTTATCCGGTGAGCGAGAAAGTGTATCTTAGCGAGCTAAGATTCACTTTCGCAACGAACCTGATAAACCTTCGCCATTCCGACATCAACCATGTATTTAATTTATCCTGCTTTAATCATGTTTTTAGAATAATTAAATGGTTTCATTCTTACTTTTCCCCGATAAAATAGCATCTATATGTAGTTTTGTTTTGCTGCTTAACAGCTGACGTCATCTTGTGACGTAATGACTGGAGATAGATAAGTTTATCCGGCAAGGCTTAATCCAACTGATGATATAGACAGTAGCAGGATAAAAACTTAACCAATACCAGCTCTCCATATTCCTCAAATAGTTGAGATAAAAAATTATATATATTTCCACATTCATCACATACCTGCCACCAGTTGGAATCATCATGATTATAGATGTGCAAAATATCTCCGTCCTGGAACGCTAAACCCGCCTCCTTGCTAGGTATAAGTCGGTCATTTTGTGGATTGTAGTTAAAGTGAGCTTTATAAAACATCTAAAACATAAAAAGAATAGGTACATAAGATAACAGTTCAGTCAAATGTAGAACTAAAACAGTTTTCCGTTGAAATCCTTCTCATGACATAACATTTAATCTTTTTCTAACATTAACAAGCAATTATCATAGTATTGCAAGCAATCCATAAGTCCCCTACCGGTTAGAACCCCATCAACATTCTGAAGGGCCATTCACTAATGTTTCAATTTTTCTCTATTTTAAGTAAATTTGTTGGAAAAGTTCTTTAAAAGTGATCACAGGAAACAGTTTTTATGAACAGACAGACAGACTGAAGAACACTCTAAAGTTAATATTTGAAACATTCCTGTTACCAAAATATAACATTTTAAAAGCAAAATTCTTAAACAGGAGATAACTCTTGAATTAAAGATGCAATTTCATAAAAAAATTTCAGCTCTTTTTGACTAATCACAAATATTGTTATATTTGCCATGTTTTAAGCCTATTTGTTGCCAAGGCAACTGATATTTTTTCAAAATAGGAAGAACAGATAAGACATGCATAATCTCAAGACTGCCATCTACCCATATGTCAAGTTTCATAAAAATATTTCCAGTACTTTTTGAGTTATCACTGGATTCAGTTTATGTATAAAATTTGCCATATTTTCAGTCTATGTGTTGCCATAGCAACCAGAATTTTCAACATAGGAAGAAAAGAAAAAGACGTGCATAATCTCAAGACTGCCATCTACCCATATGTCAAGTTTCATAAAAATATTTCCAGTACTTTTTGCTTTATCACTGGATCCAGATTATGTGTAAAATTTGCCATATTTTCAGCCTATTTGTTGCCATAGAAACCAGAATTTTCAATATAGGAAGAAAAGAAAAAGACGTTCATAATCTCAAGACTGCCATCTACCCATATGTCAAGTTTCATAAAAATATTTCCAGTACTTTTTGCGTTATCACTGGATCCAGTTTATGTGTAAAATTTGCCATATTTTCAGCCTATTTGTTGCCATAGCAACCAGAATTTTCAACATAGGAAGAAAAGAAAAAGACGTGCATAATCTCAAGACTGCCATCTATCCATATACCAAGTTTCATAAAAATAGTTTCAGTACTTTTCAAGTTATCGCGGGATCCAGTTTTGTGGACGGACGGACTGACGGACTGACAGACGGACGTACAGACGGACGGACGGAGGGACAGACGGACGGAGGGTAAACCTAAAGTCCCCTCCGGTAAACCGGTAGGGGACTAAAAATAGACTGGAGATGTGGATTTTACATTTTAAAAGATATATTAATTATTTTCAAATTTCAAATATTAAACTTTAGCACGATATATCTTTAAAATGCTTTACCAACATTATAATGATTGTGTCATACTTCATTCAGAGATGGGAGGAGTTACCTTACATGCCTTGCAATCTGAATGGTCTGCCCCTACATATATAAACTCCTCCCACTTTTACCCATTTGTACAAGATATGCTGCTGTTCATTAGCTATAATAAGCCTATTTGATATTTTTTCTTACCAAATACTGCTTAAACATCTAACATTTACAGTATTAACTAATTTTATATGATGGTATTAGTTCTATATCATAAGAATATGGGAACTATTTGCAATACAATATTCAGAATAATAATAACACCCTAGCTACACTAACCTGTGATGTATGATGTTGCTCAATGTATGTGGGAACTATTTTCAGTGTAATACTTCTGTCCGCATTTCTAATGATATCCATCAACTGTTGAGGTGTGAACACTGGGATTCCATTCACCTCCTTAATTATATCTCCAACGTGTAACAACCCTACATGATATAGAAATATGAGGTAAATCACAAGTCAAAATTGCCAGTTCCTTAAACTATGGATATAAAACAAGAATTACCCTATGATACAATTTTATTCAAACTGACATTGATAAGCCACTATGACATCACACTTTACTGAATTTAAGAGCCAACTTGGTTCTGGTATGTCTGTTAAACATATATATGTATATGTCATGACATTTGGCTTTATACAAATTATCAAGAGAAAAGATGTTTTTGTAAGACACAAAAAGACAATCTTCAAAATTTGTTAATTTGATTTTTATTATCAATGGGGTTTTTTTACGCTATAAAAATTCTGGCAAAATGACCAAAATACTGACCTTAACATCAAGGAACAGTTTATGGTGTGTGAAAATGAAGCTTTTATCTACAGATTTTAATGTAACTCAATAAATATTAGTTACAGATCTGAAAAAAATCTCTTCTAATGGCCTACAGTATTATGATCACAAAAACAAGAACTTTCTGTTAAAAAAACAATGGTTAATGAGCAAAGGGAAATAATTCAATAGTATTACTTGAGTTATTGGTCTTGATTACTGTCCTACAATTTAATTAAAAGACATGTGTCACATTACACCGGAATATAACACTGATTATGGAAAAGATGATGTTGCATTGAAATCTCTATACAGACTTCAATTAAAACAAAGTTTAGTCTCTTGTTTCAATAGTTTACCTGAAATTATAAGAACTATTCCTACCTAATTTATCACTCATACTGCCTGCCATGATTCTTGCAATAGTTAAGTCCCCTGTCTCATCTATCTTAACAGTAATACCCTGTAACATAAGTTAACATACTGTTTGAATTGTAATACACCAATCTAAAGCCATTAGCTGTGGAAAAAAGATACCAAACATTTATTGTTTTAAAGTAAACTTATAATGTTAAACCATTTTTAATATTGCAAGTTTGTAATGTGGCTTTTCATTGGATAATCCTAACCTATATTTAATCTATATACACAGATACTTAATTTTTGAAGTATTTTCATTTTATCTCTAATAAAAGAGCTTTGCTTGTGTTCTGTATTTTAAATATGTTACATTTACACACGCAACGACCATTTACATAGGGCTATATAACCTATCACGAATCTATTAAATTTAATGATAGGACAGTATACTTACCAAAGGTTCTGTATCACTCTTCATGATTCCAACCAATCGAATTTGGTCATTTACTGTGTTAAAGACGCCCTGATCTTGTTCCTGGAATATTGGCTGATCTTCTACAGCCGGAATCTCCTCGAAATTTCTGTCAATAATGTCATCATGGGCATCTAATATAGCCTACAATATACATGTATGTTCAGTTGATTCTCTAAAATAGCAATAAGCCAATTAAAAAGCTGTTCATGCTTTTCACACCTTTCATGGCACCCTCAAGCAAATTATTTACTATTGTTTATTCCACTTTTTGAATGTTCACAGTAAAACAAATGTTTGAACAAATTTTGTAGGTTTACTGAGATGGAGCCAAGATTATTGAGCATTACAATAAGATTATTGATATAACTGGGTGTATAATAACGGGCAAATGTGTATATACAAATCAGTGTTAAACTTATTTTTCAGTTTTAAGCAAAAATAAATCAACATCCAATATACGGTAGCAATTAATTACTTAAAACGCAACATTAATCTTAAAAAAGTTAATATCATTCTTACTCAAGGTAATAAATTATAGTTGTACCTTAAAATGTGTATCAGACAAAAGTCTATCTAATTCTTCAGCATTTCTGTTTGTGCCAACCAAATCCCCAAGGGCATTGTACACATCTGTCACCAACTTCCCAGCATGAACATTTGCCGGCACTTCTGGTTGATCTTCAAGCTTATCTTGGGTCTGTATTAACAAAATCAACATTCAATGAATCTAGCTCTAAACAAAACTACTCTTTATGAATGAAAATAATGAAAGGTTGAGAGAACAAATCCTGACTCTCAAACTTAGATTCAAATAAGTTTTTATAACTATTGTGAAATAGCTGAAGACATTCTCAACTAAAGCTTTTTATATATACATTAATTACATCTTATAAAATACTGGACAATACTTACTTTACCATATGTTATATATTCTTTAAATTTAAAAGAAAAACGATTTTACTGTCAAGGTCATGAAACTGCTTATTTTTAATTTTCATTTTCCTGTAATTACGCTTATAAAATCATTCATATACATGTATGCATCATATCTTAACAACAAACAAAGTAAGTCCAGTTTATATTTAACTGCAAAAATACCATGTTTCTTGTATTGTGCAAAAGTAGACTATATAATGTGAAGAAGAGTGAGATGTGCAAGTGTAAAAGTAACCTACATCAACAATAGATTGAAGAATTGGGTCTGATAGAAGCTTGCTCAGAAAATCTATCTCGCTGTCCGGGGCATCAGTAGCATCTTGAAGTCTGTCGAGATTGTTCTGCAATGTTCGAACCGCAACTGTGGAAATACACGCAAGAAAAATTTAAAGACACTTACATGTAATGTCACAATGTATATGTACAGAAAATTTACAATGAAAATCTATGTTTAAAGTGCAAATGGAAGAAAAGTGGCATAGTGGTAGAGAATCAGACACCTAATCTTATCCCAAGGTTGTGGCTATGAATCCAGCAGTCTTTTGCACAATCCAAACTGGTGTGTTTTTCCTATTTGCATCAAACATAACATTATGAAATAATGTTCATAACACATTTATACGAATGAATAGATCTCTTGGTTCGTTTACAGATTTACAGACACTTCATCCCCTAGACACTTCACCCTGAGGCCTGATTTACTTTAAAGAAAAATTGGATGAGGGTGAAGTGTCTTACTGTTTTTGGGGGGGGGGGGGGGTAAAGTGTCTTGAGAGGTGAAGTGTCTTCAAAATTTGAGAGTGTAGAGTATCTGGGGGGTGAAGTGTCTTGCTACCCTTTTACATGTCCAATGTATATCACTGATACTTCCGAGGATTACCTGGATTTCTTACCAGTACACCTCTAGGTAGGTGGGAAACACTGACAGTGTCTCTAAAAAATCCCAAGGATGTTACCCAGGATCAAACACGGGACCTCAGGAGTGACAGTCAGTGGTCTAACCAACTGAGCTATCACGCCACTGGTAAGTTGTTCTAAAAGATGATTTTGTAATTACATTGTAATTTAATTATTTATAATTACACTATTTTACCAAAAACATTTTGAATGATAAACCCTTGTAATAATTACCTAAACCAGATTCATCCTCTGTGTTTGACGCCGCTGGCATCTTGACGGATGTGCAGTGATCACTCTTCTAGTAAAATATGTCTATGATTTCCTGTGAAATTTTAAAATTCAAATAAAATTTAGTAAACAGACTAAACTAGTTTTTATTTTATTACAGTAAGATTATGATGAGTTTAAATAAAAACCATGTTAAACGAACATTATTTTGATAAGCTTTTGTAATGGGTCCCATCTTAAACTTTAATGCAGAAACAGATTTAAAACAAAAAAAGCTGCACATAAAGTTTTGGAACCCTAAATTATGAATACAGCTAATTAAGCACATCACAATCTAACATTTAAAGTTTAAAAATAATCTACTTCTGAAACAAATTATGGTATAAGATGTCATAAACTATAACAAAACATGTGTTTTCATAAGTAGTTAATGACAGTCTCTACATTAGCATTTACCCCTAAAAATATTTTATTTCCTGTTTAGGGAAGTCGGCCATTTTCCTTTGACAGGTCTTAAAATATTGTTTATCTTTTTATGTTTATCTCGCTGATTTATACTTATTTCATTTGCAATGCTCGTGGTTAAGTTAAAATGATTTTTGCCACCAAACTATGAAAATTAACAAACAATGAAACAACAAGAATTATTAAATAATCTCACCTGAATAGATAGGTCGGACGCGGTTTACATCAAACACCTGAAGTCACGTGATTCACGAATCTGTAACGCTTCTTCTCATTGGTCGAATAACTAAAGGTGAAATTCCTCGTTAATTTTGTGATCTATGGTGGCGTAACTTGGACATAACTAACTTTAAAAAACTGCTATCATGTTTCATTTGTTCTTTTTTTAGATATAAAAAATATATTTATTATGGATCTATGACACTCCCCACGAATTAATAAAAGTGTATTTGGGATAGATCTATATAATTTGATATATTTTAATTTTGTATTTTGATATATGCTAAACACAGACATAATTATAGTATTTATACATGTAGTATATATGGATGATTTTTTTTAAAATTTCTTTATTGTTTTTATTGAAAACAAGATCCTTTAAAAATATATGTATTTTGAGTGAAAAAAATTATAAGTGAAAAAAGTATTTTATCTATAAAATATCCCATGTGCATGCCAATTTCGACTCAAAAACTGATCGATTCCATAAAAGTCATTGCAAGAATACAATACAAAGTTGCAGTAATTATATTCTAAAAATAAGTGGGGGTGGTCATGTACATGTATAGTTTCCAAGCCACGCACCGACTGCCTATGGTGCCAAAGAGAATTCATAAATGAGTGTCTATGTACACAGGCCTACGTGGATGACCATATTTCAAATAACATTAATTATATTATAATCCTCTTTTATAAATTCAAAATTGTTTCAATATTATTTGTTACATGTATATATTTTATCTTTGACTACACGTATTTTGTAGTTTGGTTTACTTAGGTCTAGTCCAAATATTTAGACGTAAACCGCGGATTTGAAGCTATTTTTTTTATATTTTTCGATAAACGTTAAACTGTAAAAATAGAAAATGCGATGTCTTTCAATGAAGGACAAACTTCGGTCGTACATATTTCACATATGCATGTCAGTTTCGACTCTGATCGATTCTATAAAAGTTATTGCTAGAGAACAATACAAAATTGTGGTAATTATATTCTAAATTTGTGCATGCGCGTGCATGCATATTCTTTCTATGATTGGAAGGTACACGTATGACACTGTTCGACATATATGTATAAAATGCGTGCATGTATAAAACTAGTCAAACTTGTTATGTCTTCCTATGGAAATTATTATAAGGGCCACTTCTTTATTGGTGTACTTTTTTTTCAGAAAAAAGGGCAGTCGCAAAAAAGGACACAAACTTGTCTGATCAATCACATTTATATCTTTAAAATTTACTTTAACCAGAACCACGTCATCCAATGAGGTGATACGATGCGTGCGCATCCTCAAAGTTCTGATAGCGCGAACACTGAATATTGACCTTTTGTTTTAGCACCTGTCTTGTCAAAATGTGATTTAAATTCTGGATAACCGCTTGCCCCTCACCGCTGTGCTAGAAAATATTGGGAATGAAATGACATAAATTTCCAAGAAAAGTTGTTTTATTGAGATAAAGCATTTAAAATATGATAGAATATGGTAGAATATGCAAGAAAAAGTATTTGACATGTTTGCGCTTCAGATCGAAATATCCGTCCCTTTTATGTAGTTTTTTTACTTGGAACATATAATAACATGTGGAAGGTCATTGTATACACACCGGTCTCTCAAATATCGTCAGTAAGACCGGTGTACACAATGTGCGGAAGGTTAAATGAAAATCACGTCCTCCTGTTCTGTTTTCAATCATTTTCTTGCATACAGATGGAAGTAAGCCGGACCAGAGTTGGATGCATCTTATTATTATTACAGATGGAGGTAAGCCGGACCAGAGTTGGATGCATCTTATTATTATTACAGATGGTGGTAAGCCGGACTAGAGTTGGATGCATCTTGTTATTATTACAGATGGAGGTAAGACGGACTAGAGTTGGATGCATCTTAATATATTACAGATGGAGGTAAGACGGACTAGAGTTGGATGCATCTTATTATTATTGCAGATGGAGGTAAGACGGACCAGAGTTGGATGAGCTAGATGACATCCTGTGTTTAGAAGTTGCAGCACCATATGAAGGGAAGGTTGGTTGTCATAATTATAAATAATATGTTATAGAAATCAGACATAAATATTTGTTAATAAACAAATATTTGTTAATAAACAACATATGTATAAAAGTTTCTTCTTCATTCAATTCTTTCTTGTTTAAAGTCATAAACAAAATACCTAGCTGTTTTTTTGTTTTTTTTTCATATTTCACCCAAACAGTTTATTAAGTGTTTAGGAGAGGAATTTTACAGTCAACGCAACTAAGATTTGCAGGTGTACTGTAGTCACGTGATTGGATATCTGTTTGCAATATTTCTAATGAAAATCGCTTTCATTTGTTGTTTTGAATGACATATGATTGCAAAGAATGCCCTTCTTTGAGGGAATACATTACAACCTTTTCAATATCAAGCCGGACAAGTGACTGAAATATTAAATTGTACCATGTTGGAGCATTGAAATACACGAATGATATAAAACAGTGAACATAAATAACGTTATGGTTTTACTTTTAAAATGTCAGTCGTAAAATCATATACCCGCACATTCACATAATTTCGCAAACAATAAGTAAAAATACATTGGCTATAGGTATCATATGCACGCTACACGTAATGAATTAACTCAGATCTATTTCACAAAACTAGTACACATGTTTATACCCGTAAATAGCTTTAAAACATAATACAAATGAGTATTTTTCATTATGTTGGATTTCTACAGACCAATTGAGCTAGCGATCCTAAATTTTATACAAAATTATTTTTCACCTGTATATATTATACATAATGTTACGGTTTGTTTTTCATCAACTTTAGTAATTGATTTCGAACTATGTTTACCCTGTATCATTACTTATTACACATGCGTTTTCTAACCACCAAGCGCCAACATCTTTGATAGATTTCCGAAATTGTCTGAGATTATTTAACTTAAAGCATAAGTTGCAATACGCTATCTTGGCATGTTCTTGTTCTCCGATAACTTTAAAATGATCTTTAAGCTTCAGAATGTCTGTATATCTTTGCTCGTCCGATCCAAGTTTATTCAAATATCGAGCAAGTGATTTAGGCGATGTAAAATAATTTGTATCTATAAAAGTTCCTTTAGGGAGGAACTTCTGATAATCCCTGGCACCTCTTACCACTATGATGAGATCCCTGGAATACCACTTAAATGCCTTCTCAGTTATGTAGTCAATGCACAATGAGTTTTCAAAAGCTAAGTAAAACTTGAACTTTTTTGCCAAATCAATCTCGCAATTTAACTTATTCGAACATGATGAAGATTTGTTTGCATTACACCTACCAATGTTTGTTACATTGGTAAATTTTGCCAGTTCTTCGATATAAGACTCACGCTTACTTTGAGTTTGACAATGACTTACCATCCAAAGAAGAGATTCTGTTTTCTCCCGGAATATTTCACTATAGTTTTTATAAATGTCTCCAGTATAACCGTTCTTTTCAAACTTTGCATCAGTCGCACTGAACTGTCTTTTAAAATTATTTTCATTTTCCATGTCCTTGAATCCTTTCTCTTCGGCCGTATCATTAGAAATTACAGAACCGTAGAGATACTGAATATCAGAGTCTGTCCTATAGGTCATAGTGTAGTTAAAATAATTAAGATATATTTCGCTTGTAACGTTTGTGTAATTTAGATAAACCGGAGATTCTATTGAAACAAAAACAAACATTTGATCATCATCTCTGTGCTGGGGTATTTCGTTTGGGATATTGGCCACCTTGTATCAAGACAGCGTCTGCCTCTATAAACGTTTCTGTTGTTTCTCTAATATACACAGCTTCACAGTTTTGATAATGGAAACATTTGGATAAGTTTAAATTTGTAAGATGATCCTTTAACATACCATGATAAGGTCTGTAAAGCGCAATCACAAACTTCTTTTGCGTTAAATTCCTTTTCCATTCTTTACCATGCCTTATATCTGATATTCCCCTGTCGCTTGATGTTTTGTTTAATATTTCACCTGCATTATTTTTCGCAAATACATTCACTTTGAAAAGTGGATCCATGAATCCGATGGTATGACTTAGTTCCGACTTTATGTTCAGAATTATAATACATGCTACCAGTATGGAAAATATAAACAAGACCCGTGTATTACATGCCGGCATAGTTTCTCTCTGCTTACCTGATTCTGAAATAAGTAACACTATAAATTTAATACAAATCATGTGATGTTAATTAATATGCCAAATGAAAAATCTTCTTAGAATCTGTCTAATACTTTATCTGATATTCTGGATAAGATCTGAAGAAAGAAACAGACACACGAAAAGTTTGGCCTGTTGCTCGCAAGAAATCTGTTTCATAAAGGAATAATGTCGGTGCCAAAATTGACCCTGTCCCTTAGTCATGAGTTTTTCCTAAATTTATATTGTCAAAACTTTACAAATTCCTTAACACAAACAGAGATCTTAAATGATTAACAGAAAACAATGTCTAGTGGACTTGACCAAGTTTGTTCGAAATATACATGTAGTTATTGGATCAAAATGTACTCCGCTCCGAAGGGTTTTAGACTGTTTTATTTGTATATAGATTACAAAATAACTTTCACTGAAACGTGGTGTTGGTGTTGGTAGTTTTCACTCCGGATCACGGCAGTAAGCCATGTCGTTCCTGGGCAGGCTGTCAAGCAGTTTACCAGTACTTGTTACCTTCACTTTCGCAAGGAACTGAAACGTATGTACACACCAGAGCAGAGGTACAATGCGAATAACCATAGAAAAGATTTCACGAAAGTTACCTGCACTCCTCGGGGTTTTGATTTTTTACATAGATTCTCCAGCCTCAGGGAACTGATATGCCACAAAACTGTTGTGTGTTTTCTTTTCTTTTTTCAAAACACCTCGAAAGCTTATCTTTATAAAATCACATTGACTTTCTTTCTTTGTCAAAAAGAAAACTAAATACAATGTTTAAATAAATAAAAATTTTCATCCTGATTTAGACATATTCATTTTTATCAAGTTTCATTTCTAAGATTTCCATAACATACAGAAATTTATTGCAATATCATGATAAGGAAAGTGGATTGAACTAAAAGCTTAAAGCTTTTTGTTATTCTCTCCATAAATTTTCATCTTGCCTTCGGAATTGGGGATTTCATTTTTACTTCAGGTATACTAAGGTACTTTTTAAGGTAAGTTTAGTCATAATAAAAATCCGATGAAGAAGAAAAAACTACACAACGAAGAAATAATATACATGTACACTTACTTTTATCCAAAACAGATAAAACAACAATTCTATATATGGTTAATTGTTTTTTTTTTCTTCTTAATTTTGTGAAATCACAAAACTATTTTTTTTTTGGTGGACAACAAACTCTCGTAAAATTGGCGCCTCTAAAAAGAAAACACATGTAACTCGACTTCCGCTTAAGTTATATGATTTGAATCAATGTTCCAATTGAATGTAAAACTTTTAATTTCTTAACCTGTATTAGCCATGAGTGATACTACATCAAACTTTATCAAATTTTAATTTAACGTTTCCTAAGAAATGCTGTATTTAGTCCAATACCTAATCCATATTCATCCATTTTGCTTTTATTTTTTTGAATTGCAAATATATTTAATGATGCGAAACGAGTTTACGGGATATGTACTTTTGAGTACAACTCTTCCTTGATTTTATCATCGATTTCATTTGAACAATTTCATACCCGAACAAACACTATAGAAACATTGCCAAAACACTAACACACATACATTAGATGGTGTGCATAAAGGGTATATATGAGGAACAATTGGTTATATGTGTATTACAACAGAAGTTTTTTTTTATATTGACAGTAAGTTTTTTTTATACATGCATTGAAACTATGCGCGTTTTAGTTTACATATAGCTTTTAATTTAATATTTGAACATTTAAGGTGACAACAGACACTTTCCGAGGTACTCACATAAATGTCATTTAAACAAAGTTATTTTAGTAATAATTGTTATTTATTTAATCTTTGTGCATTAAATGTCGTTGATCATCATAAAAAATAACATATTTTAAAAAAATGCCTTTGTAAATGTTTGATTTTGAATAAAAATCCTAAAATTTTAAATCGTCATATTAAAGTCATTTTTTATTTTTTTGTCATCAAACTTTTGGAAAATAACCATACTTATATTATCTGGGGAACCGTGTCTCAAATTTCTTCTATCTTTTCTCAAAAAAATATTACATAACGTCAAACATTTTATGCGACTTTTTTCACCATACATATTACGTAATTAAAGATAATTAAGTCGCTGATTGAGCAAACAAAAATCCCTGACACGGTTCCCTCCGTAAATGAATTTCCTTTCATGTGCTTTAAACCGCATGTTAATTGCTTGATTATTGAAAAAGTTATGCCGATTCAAAGTTAGTCCGACCCGCATCAAACGAAGTGTCATAAATCGGCTGTTCTCTCTCGGACCCCTACGTTTCACGCTAAATAATTGCATAATACACAAATATCGCACCAGAGAGGGTCACAAGTTGCGGTAACATACTCTAACAACATTTTATGACCCAGTGACATCTGACCAATTAAAAAGCTGCTGATTAATATCAGTTTATAGCCGAAATTTCTTCAATTCTTAACGTGATTTACTCTCCATCTGGTATCGGTCGCACATGTCACGTGACTATCGGTAAAATTTGAGGCACTCAGTGGGGGGAAATGGAACGCATGTGCGCGCCGCTAGCGGTGTATTTAATTGTTTCCTTTTTGAAGTTTATTATTATTATCATCAGCATTATTATTGTATTATACCAGTGTCACTCTGCCTGTGTATTCGTGTATGAAATTCCGTGAAAATATAAAATAAAATAACAAAAAACTGAGCTTCTGCCAGTCTTTTAAAGTCCATGGTAGATGTACAAATAAGAACGGGATATTATATATTTTTTCCACCAAATTGATAATGCTTCACATATTTTAATAGAAATAAAAGGTATTACTCGATCATTTTGATCTGGCCTTCTTGACTTCTATTATGAATATCACCTATGCACGGCATAGAGATCCAGTTTCTACCGGGTTAGATAATAAATTTCATACTTTGTCCCAGATTTATTAGTACTGTGTCCGATTTACTGGCGAACTATTTATTTTCACTGACAATATATTTCAATATCTTTTTTTTATTCATAGAGAAATAATCATCCTCAGACAATCTAAAATGGTTTAGAAATTTGTCAGGGACACCTTACCACAAGTCACATAGGCGTTCACATAAAAAATGTTGTCTGTTTTTGTTGTTGTTTTACTTGACATTGTTAGAAAACGAGGTTGAATGTAAAGTAAGCCCTTGAATCCGTACAAAAGTCTATCACTTCAATGTAATATCTATCAGATTAACGGGACAGACAAATTATTTTCACACATTATGGATATTTTAGCAACTACATTTTTAATCAACCCCGTGGTCGTGTGCGATTTGCCGCTATGCTTAATTATTTATGTTTCATACATTATGTTACATTGGCGGACAATTTCTTAATTTATAAAAAAGGCTAAATGTTAAGATATTCATAAAAGATGTACGGTAGTTGTACGATACATGTATTACGAGAAGTATGGACCAGTATGGACCTATAATTTACGGATATATGGAACTACCGATTTCCCTCATTGATGCCTCAACAGGGGGCGGAGCGTTATCGATAATCGACAGGTTACGCGAATTGCAGATACAAATAGTATAGGTACCGTTTTAAAACGTTTAAAAACACATTTTTTGGACAAACTGCTTCCAAAATTAAATCACGAATGTGTTCAGAAAAGGTTGATAAATCTACTTAGCAAAAAATCTCATTTTAGGTATTTTCAGTGATAATTGACTCCGTTGTCACCTTAAATCGTTGCTAAATGCACCTATATATGTCATAGTATGTGGTTCTTTTATTCATGTTATAATGTATTAACTATGGCTGATCGATATGGTGAGGCTTGTTTCGGAGGAGTTGAGAAGATATGTTGATTATAAATCCTACTATTACCAGACTACTCGAATACTAGGTGTCATTTAGTCAGATTATGTCGAAGAGGAAATACTTTAAAGTAAACTAGGCAAGTGATTTTTATTTCAGAATGGACAAAACCACTGTCATCGTAGTGGCTGGCACAACATATGGTGCTCGCAACCAATCAATCCTTATGTACTAGATGCCAAGTTGGAAATTCAAAGCTGTATTATTTGTATATAGGCCGAATGGTCGCTGCAGTATGCTGTAAAAAGAATTTTAAATACACAGCACAACTCTCTACTGCACTATTCTTTATTCTCTTATTTTGCATTTTCTCTTAATATTGTATAGTGTTCAATAAGTTACAAAATGAATACTTCATAAGAAACATTTTTAAATTTATTCATGTTAAATAGGCCTTATAAGCCCAAAACAAACCTGAAAAGCAAAGAAAATACAATAAGGTAAATTATGCATGAAATTGTCAAATTGTAGTACATGTATAAGCATTAACAGTCAGTTAAGATATCATCAGTGGCAATATCTAGATAATTGGCATATATTTTTTAGTTCACGGCGTATATAGCATGTAATAGTATATGTAATTTTACCTACCTTGCTTAGTACATAAATTATATAGATTTTCTGATCAATCCGGAAGAATGCTTCTACATTAAGTACTAAAGTGAGTACAAATATTACCTGCCTATTGGTCGTCCATATGTGACAAAATCCATTTGTCAAAAGTAAACGCAAGACACCCAAGGTTATTTTCTGACCAACGATACAAAACTTTATAGCATAATGAAGAAAATGAAAGTACTCTAGTTCCATTTATATAATTTCGATGTCAGAAACTTGGTTGTACTCTAGTGTGTATGACGGTGTAATTAACATTTGAACTTTATACAATACAAATGGAGCTGGGGTATGTATGTACATTAGAAATGATATTTCTTTTAATGTTAGATATGATTTGTCAAACAACTTAAATGAATGTTTATTTGTTGAATACTTTTGCCCCGGAATAAACATAGTATTGTAGGAACACTATATAGGTCCCCTTAACAAACCGCTTTCAATAAGTATTCAGACTTAACTTTATCTTAACTTTCTTTTGAAAATGAAATATATATACTGGGAGATATGAATATATGCTTTTTGAAAGAAATTTGTTTTCTGTGATACTTTTCCTAGAGGTTACTTCTACACTATCCACCTGCTTTTCCTGGGAAAAAACCGATGACTTTAAAATTTGATATTCCTATGGTCAAAGTAAGACTTTAGCGGATTAATCATTCTCTGAAGCTCTCTTTAATTCAGTCCTCTGCTAAAAAGGGTGGTGGGGGATATGTACTTTTTTAAGATCCGTCTAATGAGACAACATAACAATAATCGCTTATTAATTATATTTAGACTATTTAGGTCATTCAAGAATAGTAAAAATTATATAGGAGACATCGTACACCCTTGCCTGACACCGTATAGACATTCTTTGTACGAAATTTATGCATGTACCAGTTGATATTAATTCTGGTTTGGTTATAATCATACATCAGTGGATGTTGTTAAAATGATTTTGATATTGTAGGGCCGGGGTACGGTATTTCGAGAGTCCCGGGTTCGAGTCCCGCTCAGGCAGCATATTTTTCACACCCTGTGATAATTTTACGCAATACTTTTGAACGTGCATGCTAAGAGAATACTATTGTTTCTTTTTCCATGTCTACGCGAGCATTTTTTTCGAATATTTTTCTTTTTTGCAGATAAATCTAGATTGGCAGAAGTATCAATGGTCAAAGAACCCCATGTATAGGCAACAAATAATATGTTACCAATTACGTATACAAAATCCTGAAATAAAGTTATTTCTCAATTTTTGCGTTTATTCTATTCTGTGTATTTTTCACGTTTGGTCTAGTGTTTCATCTGTTTCAGATTTTAAGATTTCCAAAAGAGCTTTTTTTCTAATTTTGATACTAAGCATAATTATGTTGTCTTGTTTGATGAACTTCAAAACTTGCAGATGCAACAAATGTATTGAGTAGAAAAACCGACCAAAAAAGTCACTTGTCAATTATCAAAATATACACATGGCCGTCTCGACATATCTTTAATAACTCCGAGCTAGGAAGCTGAAACCTTAAACGGAGTTTGTATCATAAACATTGCCTTAAGGAATGGGCAAAAATTTGACAATAACTTACAATTCCATTTATATTGAGAAATTCACTTGACAAATATTCATGACTTGGTGGCCATTTTGTCAAGTTTGCAAACATTTCGTTAGTTTTTTTAACCAAGTATATCTATCCATAAAAATCGTGCCTTACGGATTTTGCAATAATCCCTTCACAGAGACGTTATTTGCGTTATCACAAACTACTACGTTCTCTTATACATGTCTAACAGTCTTATCAGTCAGATAAGGCCAACAAGACCATCCTTGTCACGTTGACCTACCTTTAAGACAATTACTCGTCTGGTGAAAACATCTGAAAAAGTGTTTGCCATGAAACTTTTAACAGGATTGTTCGTTTTATGTTTATTTTCTGGTAAGTACATGCAAATTTCTAAAAATAAGCAAGTAATCGAATGCATATATGACTATTTGCATTCCTATTTGAAAAAAAAAGACAACAGTTTTGTGATTTGTATACACATGTATTGACAATTTTACTTTTTCCGTCATTTTGAAAGGCATTTATGCTTAAGATTTATTTGAGTTCTGGTAAGGAATAAATTAAATCAATATTAACGTTACAGAACATTTTCTGATATGTTGCCGTTAGTATCTCTATGACGTTACTAACTGAAGAATTAATAGAAGTCAGAACATGATAAATAATTTCAATTTGTTGCAGGAGTTCAGCTGGCTGCTATCCAGCACGGATGCCCTGGTGGATTAGGTCTAGTAAATTGTTTTGTTGACCCATGTATGAATGCAATACGTCTAGGTTGTCATGGCTACCCTGATGCTAAATGCGTGTATGTATCAATTAATGTCTTTTACAAGAAAATCTTTTAAAAATATTAATTAAACAGTTGCTTCAACGGGAGTGTAACTGGTTTTATCAACCGCACTTCAATCATGAAGATTTTAAAAAATACCAATTTTCCACAAAACCACTTGCTCTTCTCGTCAGGTTAATGAACAAATTACCAGTAAATTACAATATATCCCGGTATTAATTGTTAAAGTAGTATTATAGGTCACATGTTATGCAACAAAATTGCGCTTTGACAAATAATGATAATAGTAAGCACATTTGTCTATCTAACGTAAAGTAATTTGATAATTAAATTATTTATACATATGTATTATTTCAGATCAAACTATTGTGGTGGCTGTAATGCTGAGTGGTATGATCTTAGTGATGGTCTTGTCATTTGTCACTGAAATGTCCGATTTACACAAAGTTATCAAATAAAAGAAGACGCACTACATAATGAAAAATTGTTGTTCAAATGTTCAAAAATGTAGTGTATAAAATGTACAAGAAATTTATAGAATGAGATTTCTTCTCCAATTCCTGCCGAGGCGTGCACGTTGCGGAGAAGGCGCCGGGCAAATCAAGGTTCAGTCATCCTTAGAAGCAGTGATGATTGGCTGACCTGTAGTAACTACAGGCAGGATTTGCGGCAAGATCAATAACATCCCCGATGAGGCAACAGATACAGACCTGCAAAGACGCCGAAAGTCTCGGACATACGGTTTATTCCGGTGCCGAGTATAAATAAACTTAAAACATAAAAACTCATTCGGCAAATGCTTAAATAAGTCTTCATTTCAAAGTAGAAAATTGTTGATTCGATTGCCTTTAATTGACACGGAATATTATTCGCTAAGCATTTAAAATAGCTGATAGACATAACAAACACTTCAACTTAAATAGAATATCTTATTAACAAAAATGTTCATAGCATGTAAAGATCTAACGGCATAAATTACATTAAAGATGTACTTTAAAGTCAACAAAAGAAATGAATACAAAACTAATATGGTGTGTATATGGTACATGTTAGCTATTATAACGTTTATAATGTCACTATTTATAAATTTAGAAAAATAAACACGATTAAATAGCTGCAGTTTGTAATCACTTATCATTTAATTTGAAATGTTTACACGATCTCGATAGCTTATCACATTCACTCGTACCCTAATGGGATAGAAAATCATACATAAAATTACAAGTAGTATCCTTCAGATAGCAACTAGAACTTTCAAGCAAATTTTACAAATGTAAAAGATACTCAATACATGTACAGGTATAAATAAATTGACCCGGTTGGCTCGAATTATAACATGACAAAAACTTGAAACTTACTGAAGAGACCTCTGTTGTAATTACTATTTGGACCTTCCCGCGTGCAAACAAACATTGTTTTTGAAGACTGGTTGGACGCGGTATGAAATGAAAGGCAGGTCAAACTGTATTATTTGTTGTAATACATATTAAAACATTCATTATACACGAAATCAAATTCTCTCGTACGTTTATTCTTTGTTCAACTGTCAACTTGCAACAATTAAAGCACTTGCACGGCTTCTCTAGAGTTTACCCATCAAAATATAGTGTTTGCAATGTTGAAAGTTAGAAAATAGCAGTTTCTTTCAAATAGAATGCTATTTGATTTTGTTTGAAAGATCCTGGAAATTATAATGTAAACGTATTTGATATTTAATTCAATCCAAAACCCCAACAACAGTTACATCACGTTGAAAAAAAAATAAGTTCGTTGTTGTTTCTTTCTTGTATGAATCAGAATAACATGATCAAAGTCTCAACCTTTGCGAGTATATCTTCATTGTTTTGAGCTTTTCGCAGATCTGTGTGTACCCTATAATGTGAAATACTCGAATAAGCTCGTCAATCGTTGCTAACGGGCCCTTGTATTCCTTCCAATACAGCAAAGAATGATACACACGATCTTGAAGTTTGTCCTTTCCATAATACGTCTGCTCGATTTCCGTTATCTTTTCTTCCGGAAGTTTGAATTTCTTCATCAAGTAACGTAATTCGTTCTTGTTTAACAAGCTCTTCACGACATCCAACATTTTCATTAACAGAAGTTCTATAAAAAGAAAATAGTGCATATTTATTAATTAAGTCGTCAGAAACTAACACAATTTTCAAAGATATAAAAAAAAATCTTTAAAAAAATTAATCATAGCTAGTACATATAAGATTTTAGTTTCTTTTTCCACCCAAAACATGTACACGACAATGGTAATCAACAATTAAAGAAGCCTTAATATCACACAGGACAACAAACTTAGTATTGAGGGTGATAAGTTGAATAATCCAGCTAAAATGAACTTGAACAGAAATCTCAACATAGTATAAAATCATATAGCAAGTTCATACCTTCACGTTCTAGGGCTCGTCTGATGAATCTTCCAATAGGTTGCACCACACCACTGACACATACATCCATCGGAGGCGTCCTTAATGGGTTTCCGTGGAGACGTAACTCTTTCAGATGTGTCAACTTGTCAAAGTTTTCCGGCAGTGATGCAAGTTGGTTGTCGTTAAGATGTAAAACTTTCAATCCTTCCATCTCACAAATAGATGGTGGGAGATCTTGAATCTCGTTGTGGTCGGCAATCAACGCGGTCAGGTTTCTCATCGTGCTGATTGTGTTTGGTAAAGTGCGGAGTGTATTGTTGGATAATATAAGATGACGAACACTTGAAAATTCGATTTCGCTTGGCAGAGTGTGGACTTTATGCCCCTCGGATTGCTCAAATTTCAATCTGTCTAAATTTGGGATGGAAATCACTGGCTTTGGAAATTCCAAAAACATGTTGTTTGAAAGATTAAGCTCTACGAGGCTGGTCAATTTTGACACTGTTTCGGGAATGTCCTCGATGCAATTATTTGCAAGGTCTAGCATTTGAAGCTGACCAAGGGTACACAGTTCACTGGTAAAAAACTGAACTTTGTTCTTTCCCATGTCAAACACTGCTAATCTCTCCAAATTTGCTATTTCGCCCGGAATAACTTCAATAGCGTTCACTTGAAAATCCAGAACTTCAAGGCATCGAAGTTGACAGATCTCCTTCGGGAACACACTAAAATTGTTTCTGCTTAGGTTTAGTTGTCGGAGTTTCACTAGATCTCCAAAGTTTCCTGGCAAATTTGTCAACATGTTCTTGTCGAGAGACAACAGCTGTAATTCCATTAGTGAGCCAATCGCTTCCGGCAGCGCCTTGAATTTATTTTCGGTGAGAACAAATGTGTGCATCACCTTTAAGTTTTCCAACTCAACTGGTAGTGAAGAAATGCTGTTTCTTAAAAGACTAAGAACTTCCAGTTTCGAACACCAAAACAAATCTTCTGGAACACTTGTGAGGCAGTTATTTCCCAAATACAGTTCTTTGAGAAATGCAAGTTTTGAGATAGCCTTCGGTATAGCTTTCAATTTATTATTTTCTAAACCCAATACTTCAAGCTTGGACAATTCGCAAATCTCATCGGGAAGGTATTCCAACTGGTTACCATTCAAACCTAGCACTGTAAGATTAGACAGATTTCTTATTTCCGGTTGAATCTTCTGCAATCTATTACCACTCATTGTCAACTCCTGAAGGGTGTTCAGCCAAAACACTTGTATTGGTATGAACTCGAAATCATTATCATCAAGCAGAAGCTGTTCTAAGAATATAAGATTCTCTAATTCACGTGGCAAATTTGTCATTTGATTTCCCGAAAGTCCCAACCTTCTCAGCTCGTCAATTCTACAAACTTCCGGTGTCAAGAAATCTAGTTCATTTCTTTCAAGACCGAGCACTTCTAAATTTTGTAGACATGAAATGTCGTCCGGTATTGCTTTTATCCTGTTTTCATTTAAAAGAAGACATCGAAGGCTTTCCAGGTATCCAATTTGTGACGGAATCTCCGATATTCTATTGCCACTTGCTAGAAGTTGAGTCAAATTTGGAAGCCCGGATATGTCCGCCGGAAGATGTTGAATGTCATTATTTGATATATCTAATATTTCCAACCTGAACAGAGAAAATATGTTTGAATTCAGATGAGTTAGACGATTCCCCGATAGAACAAGACTCTGTAGATGCTCTAACTCTATGATTTCGTCAGGTATTTCTGTGAGTTGATTCTCAGCAAGTAAGATGGAGTTTAGTGCCTCTAGTTGAAATGCTGAGGATGGAACACGAATAAGCGCCTGCTCGTTTAAATCAAGAACGAGTTTCTTCCCGTCCGCGTAAACGTTTCCAGAAAGATCTACTTCTTCTTGAATTGTTGCAAATTCCTCCGCCTCCTCATCAAAATCGGGTTCTGGTTCAACGCCGTTCTCCATTCTAAAACAATGAAAACTGTGTTTTATTAATACTTCGTGAGTTATAGTATAATAAATTTTGGTATACTAGTATAAGGAAACTGCCGTGTTTGTATTTAACATTCCAATGTCTAAGCAATGTCTTAACGTGGGGACCAGTGGTATTATGATCTCTGTAATGAGATCATGGCTCATTTGATAGTTGTAAAGATATGACTGTGTGCATATATGAGTTCTTTCTTCAAGAGACGTCCGTTGTTATTTTTTATTATTGAACATAGGTGATGCCATTATGATATTTAAGTGTCGTACGTTTCAATAAAGAGACGTAGACATAAAGGAGACATAATTTGTGGTTCAATGAAAAGTTCAAAGTATTCATTAATATTTTCTTCTTTTAACAGTTGCAAAAATTGAATTTCATTTACTACATTCAAAGATTTTTTTTTTACTTTCGTGAAAAAAGTCATCAAATCACAATATGCTCTAACATATCTTGTTCATAAATAATGTGACAAAATATCGACTAGCATATGATTTTTTCACATAGAATTAGGGCACAGGTTAATCGTTATACAAAATGTAGATTCAAAAAGTTAATCTCTGATTCTATTAACGAATTACCATTTCCAAGTCTATATTAATATATAGGTGTCCTGAAAAAGTGACATAAAAACGACAGATTAACGACTTTTGCGATCTATATAAGCCGGATTATTTGTTTTAAAACTTCAAAACCCATTTGTGAAATGCTTACAGATCTATAATCATTGTTTGCTCTTATGTTTAAATGACCTCGTAAAACTATCTAATGGTTATATTCTAGCATGGGCTTTTGTTAGGCGCGTTTGATATGTACGATGTATCATAAAGAAGTGCAACTAAATCTCCCTGTGAGATAATGCAATTCTATGTTCCGCAAACAACTGAGAACATAAACATGATATTATTATTATTATTAATTTGTGTCTCCGAACAAATTAAATGATTAATTCCGATTAATTTATTCGAACATTTTTTCTCTTTTATTTCCATAGAGCAATCCGTTAATTATTATCAATTATTTTACAGTCTAATAACTTGCGATCAAATTTCCCTCATTGTAAACAATACAAATCAATTTCTTTTACCAATTGTTGATCCGAACGAAAGATTAATTACCTACAATGCATATATGCGTTAACAATCTTATATATTTTCTTTCCATAACTGGAAACCATTCAGAAAAAAAACTTTTATTTAGGTGTCAATGAAAGTAATAGTATGCGGATGAAGTGGTATAGAGATAATCTAAATATTTGTGCAGAGATTTAATCCGGCTGTATAAAAATGTTAATAGATTATATACATAGATCTATATATACAAAGATTAAACCTTTAAAATATAGAATGGGCTAGCTGCATGGTCCCACATACCGCTTGCAAGCCATGCATGAAATACAGTTTAAAACATTTTACTTCTTTCCTTTCAAGTTTATATTACTCATTGGGCAGTAAGATAACGGGAAGATTTTTCAAACTTGTTATCTTAGAAGTCGCGGTGTTGTGCAAGCATATATATTAAATAAATCTTTAAAATAGTCATAAAGTTTTAAACCACTTTGATCGTGCATGGTTTCAAAGTATGCAAAAAAATATATGCTTATCTAGTTGAACGTGCATTCAATCAACATAATGAAAATAGCAATATCTAAGCGATAATCAGTGTATACTTGGCCATTAGGTCTATGTGTACAAATGTGTTTAACTTACAATTATATTAAAATAACATTAAATAATATGATCCATTGACATTACTAAATTTCTGTATGAATGCATTTTGATACGTTGCATTGCGGTCACTTCCCCTGTTAACAAATCAGGCGTTACTGAAATTTCGCCTACTTTGACTGTTAATTAAGATCTAGATATTCAATAAGTCTATAAGTGTATAGATTCTACAACTATATTTTTTATTATTAATTACGCTGTCACACTGTAGCAGTACTAATTAAAAATCAATGTTAATGCCAAATTAAAACACGTTGACGGGGAAAACCCTGTCTTGAATAATATTCATATTGTACAACTTAATTGAGAAATTTACCTTTATGTTTGTTTGAATTCAATCAAGATATCCAAAACTTCATTTTGACAAGTGCCTGTTTCATAGGACGCCCAATGTTGTCAAGTACGATCAGGATCACGTACTTTTCGAGATTTACGCGAGAGGTGGGAGTTAAGGTGCGCATGCGTAGTAAAACAGGAAGTGAAAGTAGATGCAAACACGACAGAATCGGAAAATAATAGTGTAAAAATGATGTTTTACAACACTATTTCTGTTTATTTATAAACGACGCTGCACAATATGTAAGATATTTTGTACTGCCATAAAAAATTAACATTGACACTTTGTTGTCATTGAAATATTCATAAAAATCGGCTTATAAACACAGGAAATTAGCCCCTCCCCCACCCAAAAGCCAACTTTCATTGAAATGTCACTTGCTTAATAAAAAGTATTGGTTCTTCGACCGAAGATTTGCTGACTTTGCTTTGATGAGAATAAAAAGATTTTTATCTAAGATGAAAATTAATGATATCGTGTCTGGATAAGACCAGGTAACGAGTTTAGTTACAGTGGAGCCCTTAGTTCTGTCTGCCATAACTTTATAAGCCGCTATTTAACATCTGATGTGGCATTAAAGTTTTAGATTAGACCCGTTAAGAAACCTAACCAACGAAACCTAACCAGAATAACATAAGTTGATTTAACTTTATTTTTCACTTGCAAATACAATCAATTCTTGGTGCATTTTACGATAAAACAATTATTTTAATATCGTTAAATACCATTTAAAGTATCAAAATATTAATACCGTCATTAAAATTGCCCATTTAACTGTAAAACATCAATTACGCTGACTACAGTAGGCCATGACATTTAGGTGCTACGCAAGACCTCGTATGACGTCATTTAGAGTAGAGTCATGTACTATATTTAGAACATCTTTGTTGACATGATTTCAATATTTTCATTCAAGATAATGTTTTTATTTATTTTCATTAATTTTTTAGTACTTAAAATAATATATTATTAAATTGAATACAAAAGTCAGTAAATCACCTTTTTTCTATATCTATAATAAAGTAATTTATAAAAATATTGGAAGCACATGGGTTACTTAGTAAAGGTCAATCTCGTAATCATGTGATCAAACATTTTGGCAATATGGCGGCCATGTGCTGAATTTTACTATTTACTATTAAATAGTTTATTTTCGTAATAAGATTTTTATTTGTGCATCCTTGGCTTATCAACCGATTATATATAATTTTATCAAGGTATGCTTCACTTTACTTCATGGCATGTTCGATGAATGAATACGAGAATGTCAGATTCCTGGCACGATTATTGGTGGACTTACCCTACGGGTCTGACTTCAACTTTCACGTCATGTCCAGACTTCCCGAAATACGTCGGTCCGACGGACATGTCCGATAAATTTTGATCAGGTCCGACAATTTTTTATTCTGGATCGGTCCGACTGTCCGGCTTTTATCCAAGCCGCATGTATACAAAATGGCGTCGCTAAAGGTGCCAAACCTGGGGAAAAACGAAAATCTACGCCAGAAGAGTGCGCAGAACAGCAATAAAAGGATGAAAAGAATAGACCTGTACGGATTGTGCCGATTTTTACGGTGAAAAAATAAAAAACAAAAAGTGTCTTAGAAATACAAACACAAGTTTTTCTTTGATTTTGATCAATTTTATTTGGTCCGACAGATTTTGTTTCGGTCCGGCAGATTTTCATGGTTTGTCAGACCGAATGTCTGACAGTTTTTTTCAACTTTCGGGAAGTCTGCATGTCATAGTATATAAAAGGCTTTAAGACCTTAAGCTATGTAGCCCTCTGAACTGTTAAAAACAAAGAATGATCAAATTAATATCAGATAAATAATTTATCCTGGTGGTACTATCTACAGGGTATGCATAAAATAAATATAAAAAACATATCTTGCAGATCAAATAAATATCTTCATAACTATGTCATTATGTTATAATATTTATTATGCATTTATCATATTTGTTAAATTATTTGTAAATGACAATTCAATATATATCCGGGAACAACCAATTTTCAATCACAACCTAAATTCAAACACATTCTTAATTTGGCGTCAATGTTGTCATGTTGGACTAAAGTGCCAAAAGTCTCATCTAGTATTGACTTCGACTCCTACAGAAATGCCATACCTAATTGAGGCTAATTCATTTGTCAAATATTATCAAAAAACAATAAGAAATTGTTTTATTGTAATCGTGTAAAATTTTCCTAATTTTACTATATCAAAATGGTCACATGTTTAAAATTGTGATAAATTTTTTGGGGTGTAAGTGAATTTTTTAATGAAGTATCAGCTGCACAGTTTGACCATTTTCCTCAATCTTGAGTGTATTGCAAAATAAGTATTTAGGTGATGTACCACTCAATGTTCATCAGACTTTACATAGGGGTCCTTATTAATAAAATCTTATTTATTATTAAGGGTTTTTCAGATGATGTAAAAAAATAAATAATACATAAAGTAGATCATCTGTAAGTGATTCCAGCCTGCAGATGTAGACAAGTTCCCATATTTGGTAATTTTACAAAGTGGGGAAGATAAATTGGCTGTTTGGTTGGATGTGTGTATGATTTTGCATCCCAAAAGTTTACTTAGGGGTGGCGCCTTCTACTGCCTTTATTGTAAGAATGAACTATAGCCATACCAATGCTTTGTATATAACATGTTATAACATTTAGTGAAAGTTTTTGAAAATCCTGAAAGCTGTTGAAAATTGTTGAATAGACTGATGTGAATTTTTCTACAGCTTTTAGTAGCCCTGGCATATCTTGAACAAAATATTCCTGGGTGTTTAACAGGTTGTTTGAATTTAGGTTAAAATATTCCTGGGAATGGGCTTAGTGGGTCATATTGTATTTATTAATTTCTAAGCAAGATCATGATATGTTGAAAAAGTTCAAACCCTAAAATGATTAATGGTGATAGATGTGTTAATATGCAATACTAAATTTTAAGCGTCATTTTCCCTACCATTTATTGTTGGCTAAAAACAGCTTAACTGTTTGAATATTGGTTGTTCCGGGATAAAAGGAGTGTTTCTCAGACCAGTCAAATTGTGTTCACTATGTTTTGCATATACATATCTTTACGTGCTTTGTTCTATATAATATATTATTATTACTGTTATGATTATTATAATATTACAATTATAGTTAATATTGTTATTATTATATTCATTATTATGTTTTGGCTTCAATGTTCAGGGAAGTATACAGGTCTGTTTCACAGTTATTAGCCTTTGAAATATACTTGTGCTTCACTGACAGTTTACTTCACCTTTTACTTCATAGAACTGTGATTTGCCAGGTTTATCTATTCTTTCTCAATACTGTGATATGACGTGTTAGACGCTTACTTCATAATAATCCTGTAATTATAAAATGATAAGTATTTGTAAATATATGGATAACTATCTTAGATCAAAAAAGATGAATTGTTATTATAGTTTGTGGATTAAGTATAGTATGTATTTATGAATAATCTAATAGGACAATTTGTTTTAATTGATTCAAACAAAAGATTACTATTTTGGCTTAATTTAGACATAACAGTCTTGGCTTCTTAGAAAATTAAGGGAAGCATCTGAAGGAAGATATAAAAAATTATCAAGTGCTCTTTGCTCTATCAAAGGAGAAGTACATATATAGAAACTGCTGTATGTTGTATGAAAGTTGAATTTTTGATGTGCATTGACAAATTACATATACAAGTCAGTTTCTGTTTTGCTGAATTAGTCCACTTGCTAGTTTAGGTATGCATAATTTATATGAATATTGGATTTGCTTAAATGTGTTAGGCATGGTATATATGTTGTGATAATTTGTCAGATTGCAACATACTCAAAAACATAATCAACCCTCTAGTGCTGGTGCATGCTTGTGGCCTTGAGAAAAATATCTGTTTGTAGTGCACTGCAGTATGCAGGAACATATTTACTTCCCCTAGGGTATGATTGAAATTCTGTAGCAAGTTGAAAACTTGAAGTGACCAATTAATTATTATTCATTCTTTGATATTTCAGAGTGATCAAAGATGAGTAATATGAAAGACAACAAAGATCTTGCTTGTTACTTCATTACAAAACATTCATGGAAGGGAAAGTAAGTAGTTTTTCTGTTTGTTTTTCTTCTCTTTCCATAAGGGGTGCATTATAAGCTTAAATTGTAATATACTCTTTCTGTTTACACTTCATTGCAAAACACTCTTGTAATTGAAAATAAATAATTATAAAATGTATAAAAGTTATAATATCCAGGTTAGAAATTAGAAAATAGAAATTATCTTTAAAATCATGCAGTTTTCTTCCCTAAAATCGAAACTTATTTACTTCCCCAAAACAGCAAGTTTATCGATAAAGGCCCCTTCCCATTTAAGAAAGAAAATCCTCTGAATTTTCGTCTAATGATGTTATTTCCTTGACATCACCATTGTGAGGATGAGGCTCAGTTTTATGGATTTCATGTAGTTATATATGACTAAGTCACTTATAATGTTTATAATTGTTTGCCTTATTTCAGGTACAAGAGAATTTTCTCTGTTGGTACAATGGGTATCACAACATACAACCCACAGTCACTGGAAATAACCAACCAGGTATGATATTATCTTTGTGTTGTGGCATCATCATTTAGATATGACATCATCTGTGTGATGTAACATCGAAATTGTGATGTAACTTCTTTTAATATCCAGAATAAGTGAACATTTGCCTTTCTTTTTTATGCTCCCTGAAAAATTATGGGGGAGCATATAGTCGCCAGGTTGTCCGTTGGTACAGACGTACGTCCGGAATTCGTGTCCAGTCCATAACTTTGTTATTTGAAGTCTGATTTTACAACTATTTCACAGAAATGATCACCATATTGAGACGACGTGTCGCGCGCAACATTTAGGTCCCTACCTTGCTGGTCAAGGTCACAGCATGGCCTTGAAGCAAAATGGTGTTCGGCCCATAACTTCTTTATTTGAAGTCGGATTCTACAACTTTTTCACAGAAATGATCACCATATCGAGATGACGTGTTGCGCGCAACATTTGAGTCGCTACCTTGAAGGTCAAGGTTACAGCATGACCTTGCAGCAAAATCAAGTCCGGCCCATAAATTCGTTATTTG